GCGAACTTTTCATACATGAACTCAAATAAAGAATACCGTTTGTCATTTCCGTGCGCAAGCCACTTTTAGGGGAGCAAAAGTTGACCACCCCCCTGGATTGCAAAATTTACTATTTTCAATTTTTTTTATATTTTCCATAATTTAAGAACTCAAGCAATCCATATATAGCAAAAATTACATTTCATGAACAGAATTGTGGAATTGAGAGCAATTTCAAAATTGTCTTATTTTTTTTGATACACCCTGTATAATACAAACCAATGTCCCAGTACTGTTGTACAGTTTGGAGTAATTATACGACTGCAATTAGATTATTGGACTTTTGAAGCTTCAAAAATAATGTGCTAGACTAGTTTAGACTTATCCTAGACAGTCCACCTGATACAAGATTCCTGGTAAATTTTGAGAAGCCTTCTGCGAGAAATTCGGGACTCTTAATCTACAAGACCTGTTTATACGTTAGTGCCTGTTTTAACAAGGCGCTAGCTTAAGTTTACTTACCCTAACTTTCTCCACGTGAGGGTTTTGTTTCCAATGCTGCTCTAACGCCATTCGAGCCAGTCGCACCCAACGATTGCGTACTTCATTATCATCTGACATCTCCCACGCATGTGTAAACATTTCTTCTCGTTTTTGAAGGAAAATTCTTAAAAATTTACGTCGATATTGAACCTTTTTCCGAAAACGAGAAGTTGACTCTCCTTGATGCATGCGAGGTAGTGTCATGATTTGTCGTAGTCTAACACGATGTCGAGGTTCAGCATGACCACCAAGTACCAACATGTTGGCTACGGTATAAGATATACCGAACCCACCATCATTTATACTGCCAAGTGACACCAAACCTATACCAATACACACAAGTATTAAATTAACAAGCCAAACCTACTTTAATTCATACTTCACACAATGCTTTTCTATTTCTTATTCTTTCTCCTTTATCAGTATTTTGGCGTTTTCCAGGCATTTTTAATCGTTCTGTTTTCTTCGAATTCATCTATAAGTTGAACCAAATAAATCACTCGTTGCGGTGATTATTAATAATCATGACTTGTTTATGTATGTTATTGCAATGAAAGACAAATCCGTGGAGACATATTGGTTGCCAAGTATTGTTACGATGTCAAGGCAAAACAAGTAAATTCCCGTAAAGAACTTATTAAAATTGGCAAAATTACAAAATTTGGTTACGAAATGTTGTAAAATACGGAAGATATAGCCTTGCGAAATTTGTATTTTTGTATATGTCTGTATTACGTGCGGAAATTGTTACCATTTTGAGCTAAAAATGGTCATAATTTCCGCACGTAATACAAACATATACAAAATGTGTAAACTTTGCAAGACTATATTTTCACAAGCTTTATAACATTTTGCAACCAAATTTTGCAATTTTACTAATTCCATTATGTGCTTTCTTGCTGTGGTGTTTGATTCCCTTCTCTTTACTTAGATTAAAATTTAGTCTAACATGCAATTGGCCATTATAACTAGTATAATTCTATTAATATTTTTTGATCTAGTCTTTCTGTAAATTTAATATGTTTTATATTCTATGTAGCAGTATTGGTAGCTCTGTTTGAACAAAGTTTGTTTGTTTAAAACTACTCACATTAATTTACACTAGTTTACTTCAAGTATAATGAATCAAATGAAAATATAACGAAACGAAACAGAATCTATAGTATAAATTATTCGGATGTGAAACTTTACCCTTTTCCAGACGGCGTCTCAGTTGACGTAAACTTTCACAATCAATATAAGAAAGAAATGGTCGTCCCCAGTTCCCACTCGGCTCAATATTTTCTTCATATTTTATCCATCTGGCCTTTTCCTTCCAGTATAGACCGCTACAGTCCAGTTCCAGTAACTCGATAAAAACCTTAAAAAATTGAAAGTTGAATTTTTACATATATTCTGGCATACACTGAGGTCGTTTTTTCTGGATATCTTTTCCTTAAATACTGTATGGATTGTTTTAGAAGTATAAGTTGGTATTCACAATTTTTACTGCTATTGGTGTTTAAGGGTTCATAAACCCGTTTAAAAAATAGACGTGTAGCCATGATAGGAAATGAAAGTCCGTTAATGCTCAACCAATAGCCGTTCGTGTTGATTTACGGAAGCGAAGCTCTCAGGCCAAGGAAGCAGTCATGACGTCATTATCGAAAATGTGTATTAGATTGTGTGGGTACGTACTAATCATTGAACTAATATCTCATCAAAATATCGGATATTACCAGCTCCGTTCTTACAAAACGAGAAATATAAAATAATATTACAGTACGTCATGGCTATATTTATCCACGTGTCCAGTCGGAGACTTCGAGGGTGATGGTGGTTGAACTGAACTTTTCTTTCCTGGAATTTCGCGAGGTGTTTCTTCCTTGCTGGGATGTACAACAATTTCAGGAATTTCTACACATAAAAGACAGCAATATTAAGTAATAAGTTCTTTGTAGAAGGTAGGTTTGCACCTCGATAATATGTTTGTTTTATTTTTATGGAGAACAACATGTTTACGACCGTTCATTGTATTTAGCAAAGCTTTAGATCCGCATACCTTAAATCCTTAATCTATTTGTACTGACTACTCTTACAGATCGAATGTTTTGTTAAATATCACACGTGGTGTTTTTTTTTACAACAACGTTCAACAACAACAACACAGCATGCATTTTAAAATTTCAAAAATTATTCTTCTGAACTGCCTTATGAAGTTATGTATAAGATTGATTAGCGCTAATGCTGGTTTGCAAAATATCATTCACTGTTTTGGTTGTTGTTGCTTATGTATGCAAACATGCATATTCAAACTTTAAGGGGCCGATTACATGGAGAACTTTCAACCCCGGGGTTGAACTCAGCGCTGTTAACCGGGTTGAAATTTTTTGCGACGATTGCACGTTCACGGTGGAGTATAGATTTGCATCAACAATTCAATGAAAGTCCAGGCTATCACAAACTTATGTCATCCAAAGTTGGACGTTTTACGGGCTTACCTAAGAACTACACGATGCCCTGGAGAGTGCATAATATCTGCAACTGTTTACTATACTTACCACCCAGTTGGTGCGAACGATAGATTCCTGTTAAATTATTTAATAATTATATTGGTATATTGGTTTAACAATTCGTTGCCTATCATTATTGACGATTTTTGCGAATTTTTGGACGATTTCAACCCCGGGGTTGAAACGCTATACTATACGTTCTCGGCATCGATTCCCGGAAGTAAAAAAAGCCTTTATTTTGTTTTCTTGTAATAAATAGTCACTACCACGTATGCTCGAACAAGTCATGATAATTTCAGCCCTGGGTTAAAACGATTACATGACAAAATTTTCAAAGCAGGGCTGAGTTCAACCCCGGGGTTGAAATTTGAACCCTGCTAGCTGAAGCAGGCCTGGGTTGAAAATTTTGTCATGTAAGTTAGAGTTTTGTATTACAGACAGGGCTGAAATTTCAACTCGGTAAACAGGGCTGAGTTCAACCCCGGGGTTGAAAATGCTCCATGTAATCGGCCCCTTAGAAATGTTATGATTTAATAATGAAAGCAGAATAATTTATGTTCTTTAGACCTTTGACTACAAAGTGAAAATTATAGATGTTTAATACGTCTTTCACGACTCGTGCATTTTCGTCAGTTTTTATCATTCTTATTCTGATGCATTTTTTATGATCCATATATTCAAATATTTTAATGCACCAAGATAAGGAAGGATAAAAAATGTAAACATGAAAAGATGTGAAATGGGCAAATCGCATACAAAGTTGTTTTAAAACAATATTTAATTGAAGAAGATAAGGTAATACTGGAGACTGAAATATCTTAATTATTTGTACACCTTGCATGGAATCTTGTGGTTCAACCTTCAACTCAGCAGGCTGTGACACAGCAGGATTTTCTTGATTGTTCTCAGGCTTCAACTCCGCCATGGAATATGACGTCAACTCAACATTTTCCGGCTCTACTGATCTCTTTGAGTGTGACATTGTTCAAAGCAATCAACTACTTCACTTCTTTATAGAGAATGGAGCTAAATTACAATTATGAACATTTTAGTAAGTTAAACAGGTGTATGTAACTCATGTTATACTGTATATCTGCCAGCTTGGAAAAATTTTATATTTAATTTTTATATATATTTAATTTTTATATATATAATATATATATATATATATAATATATATATATATATATATATATATATATATATATATATATATATATATATATATATATATATATATATATATATATATATATATATATATATATATATAAAAATATATATATATATATATATATATATATATATATATATATATATATATATATATATATATATATATATATATATATATATATATATTTATATATAATGCACTATTGTGGCAGGCATTGATTATACAATATTCCCCTCAACACCAGTGCATAACTAACAATTATCAAGTATTGTATCAATTGAGAGATCATCCTTAAATGAAGTCTGCAATTCACATGTTATATCCCAATTGAGAATTTACAGCTCAGGTATGGAAAGGCTCAGGTATGTTAACCCATTCAGCACTGTCTGGCACTCTCCCCTTGAAGAGTGAAATCATCTGGCATTAATACGCCAGCACATACAGTGCAACAATAAGGACAGAGTAAAATAATTTGAAGTTGAGTGCATTAGGGTGCATGCAATGTAATGAGTTAAGGCTGAGGAATGTTAAATTACTAACATTTTCACAAGTATACAGAGAGACCTGTTTCTTCAAGCAACAGGTCAACTCAACAAAATCACTAAAATCAGAACTTTAAGAAATTTGAGCTCTTAATATGAGTTGAGTTCAGTGAACTCTACTTTGACTGGAACACTCTCTCCTCCGCAGAGCCTCCCGAAGTATTTACAAATAACTTACATGAAGTTCCTGAATAAAAGTGAGTGCGCGCGGTGTGATGGGAAGATTGAAATGAAGTTGGGGAGGCTCTGCCAGATAATGTGACGAAGTATGGTTTTTGAACCAAACTAGTTGTTTGACCTTTTTTTAAACTTGAAATCGACGGAAATGTTAAAGAAATTGAAATGAATCTTCATAATCTGAGTATCGAAGTTCAATAGAGTCATTTTTATAATGAAATATTGCAATTAAGAGGATATTTATAATCAGATAGCTCGTATTTGCTATTGATATTCGTTTGTCGCCATTGACATTCATTTGCAATTTCTCAATATTTTTCGATGCAAATGGACAGTTCAAGATATTGATATTGAATTCACCCCAGGATACTCAAGTACGCCTGAAAATGAAAGTCGAAAACATGTTTTAACACCCCCAATGGTTGATCGAACTTCGCTACAAATTATTATATATGACGCCATATTGATTGCATTAACTCGCAGAGGCTCCTTTATTTAGCTCTTCCCATCACTCCTTGCGTGCTCACTTTTCCCTCACTAGAAACTTCATGCAAGCCCTGCGGAGGAGAGAGGACTGGAACGATAACTTGGTCCCCATCTTTGAAGCCAAATTGATGTGCAGTGCCAGTCCCTTTCCACTGTTTTTGTCGGTGCGGTTGACACAAAGTTGCATAAGTGTGCCGAAACTTCATGTTTTGATTTTGATTCAAAGATAAAACGAACTAATATCCTGATTAGCGCGATACGGTCATTTAGAAAAAACTAGAATTAGCTTGGAAAAATGGCATTATATAATTAAAAACTGTTAACTTTACACCTTTTAGTTATTGTACAGTCAGCAGCTCAATCTCCGCCATCTTGGCTTCACTCAAACATTGGGCCATTTACTAGAGTTATCAATTTTTCTGTGCTGGTGTTGTGTACTCAGGTGAATAATATGATTGTGATGTTACTCTGAGTGCATATCCACACCGGGCGAGCTTGAAAAATATGCCCTGGCCACGGTTGGGCCACGGTGGGATTCGAACCTACGACC